AATTGTATTACTTCTTTTTGTACCTAAATAATAAATTTATAATTAAAAAAAATTTTTTTTTTATAGTTTACACAATTTTATTTAATTATTAAATTTTAATAAAAAAAAATTATTTTTCTATTTCTTCTTTTAATTTTTTGTTTTTAAAATCAATTATTATTTTTTCTTATAATTTAAGTAATAAATTATTTAATTTAAAATTAAAGAAAATTTTTTTTCAGTAATTTTTAATAAAAAAAAATTTTTACAAAATTTTTTTTATTACTTCTTTTATTTTGTTTATTAAATTTTTTTGAAAATTTAATTTAACAATAAAAAAAAACTGTTTTACGGATTTATATGTATAAATATATAAATATATGAGTATATATTATATTTATATAAATATTTAAATAAAAAATCAGTGTTCCAAGAAATTCTCAGGGCAATAAGAGAAGAAAATTCCTGTTACTGTCACGCTCGGTTGAACTGGCATGAAATTCCATATTATGTACCTTCTTCATTCATAATATAAAAAATTTGTGTGTATATATATATGAATAAGGTAAATTGAATGAATAAATAATGAGATATAACAGTAGTCATAAGTAATAACGCATGTGTTTTAGTTATTTTTAACAATCAGATAATTTCAATAATTTCTTTAGTTAACAGTAAAATATATTTATAAATATGCTAGGTATAATAGATATTAAGTCATTTTTTAAATTTAAATTTCAATAAGGTAATACTTTACTTATGTGTCAATTATTTACAGGTTTTGAGAGTGAATAATTATTTGGGTATTATTATCTGAAGAATATGAAGTTAGACGAAATGGAAGGTGGAAGAAATTTATAAATTTTGAGGTAAAAAAAATTGATTATTTTTTTTTTATTAAAAAAATTAGTGTGTTGATTATGAACGTCAATGCAGCATATAAATATTATTTATAGGATAAAGACACTTTCAATTAATATTTTTATGGGAAAATTATGATAAATATTACTTTTAATTACTGAAATATTTGATAAAAAATGGCTCTGTATTTATTTTGAACGTCAATATAGTCAAAAATGTGATTTTAGGTATGAAAAAATTTATTAGGAATTTTAGAGCGATATTTATAGTAAATATTGAAATTTTTAATTCAAAAACTTAGTAAAAAATTTTTTACATTGATTTTAAACGTCAATACAGTAAAAAATGTCATTTTGGACATGAAAAAATTTCATTAGTAATTTTAGATTAACAATTATAATAAATATTGCCATTAGTAATTCAAAAATTTACTAAAAAATTTTTTTTACATTGAATTTGAGTGTCAATGCACTCAAAAATGTCATTTTAGGTTTAAAAAAAATTTCATTAAAAATTTTAGAGTGACATTTATAATAAATATTCTATTCAGTATGCTAAACACGGCCTAGAAATAATTATGCGTTGATTTTAAGCGTCAATGTAGTCAAAAAAGTCTTTTTAGGGGTTAAAAAAAATTCACTAAGAATTTTAGAGTAGCATTTGTAGTAAATATTACCATCAGTAATTCAAAAATTTATTTTAAAAATTTTTTACATTGATTTTGAGAGTCAGTGCAGCCAAAAATATCATCTTAGGTATGAAAAAAATTTTTTAAGGAATTTTAGAGTGACATTTTTTATAAATATTACCCTTAGTAATTCAAAAATTTAGTAAAAAAATTTTTTTACATTGATTTTGAACGTCAATGCAGTCAAAAATGCCATTTAGAAAATGAAGAAATTTTTACAGTGAATTTTTAGATGACATTTATAATAAGTGTTACATTTAGTAGCTTAAACATTGACTAAAATTTTTTTACATTGATTTTGAGCGTCAAAGTAGTCAATGTAGTAAAAAAGTCATTTCAGGGATGAAAATAATTTTCCAAAGAATTTTATAGTAACAATTATAGTAAATATTGCCATTAGAATTCAAAAATTCACTAGACAAAATTTTTACATTGCTTTTGAGCATCAATGCAGTCCAAAAATTTTAACATAAAATTTTTTATTTGGTTTTTTTTTATGCATTTTTATTAAATTAAAGATTATTTATCATTATGATCTTTAAAATAATTAATAATAATAATAATAATAATAATATTAAAAGTTATTGAGCAATTTTACAAGATCATGAAATTTAAAGTACGAGTTAATTTAAAAAAGTAACTTAATAGCCGTTTGAACGTAACGGTGATAAAATATTTTAAGTACAGTAATAAAAAATAATAATTTTAATGAGTGTAGGGCATTAGTTACTAGTTACTAGTGACTAGTGTATTTATTAAGATCCTATAATAATAATTTATTGAAGATAAAGACGATTTTATATTCACCAGCAATAACCACTTTGTATATGTAAGTAGATATGCGAATAAGTAAGTATAAAGACACCTTGCAATTCTCTTCTCTTTTATACTTCTTACTTACACTTGCATTACATTACCTGCATTGCTTCCCGGCTGTCCTGAGAAAAGCTATTTATAAAGTAATTACCGTCGGGCAGGTCGGGTTTTACGTGTCCATATTAATAATCAAAAAAATATCTGTAATAATAACACTTAAAAATTCTCTTTTTTTCCCGGTCAATTTTTTTTTTTTTTCTTTTTTATTATTAATTTTTATTATTCAATAATAATTGAATTAGCAATTATATTATGAATAAAATATATATTCAAAGGTATGAAAATTATTGACTGAGATTTGTATTGACAATTGACTCTTTAATTGACGCGTAGGATTTTCAATGAAATTGTTTTGCTATTACGTACATATTTTTAGTTATTTTATTGCATTAATATTATTATAGCAATCTTGCAGTCACTATGTGACTTCCGTGACTTGTGAATTATAAATTTATAAATAAATCAAATTTTCCATTATTAAATAATGAATTTTGTTAAATTGCACTCTACTTTCTTAAATATGGACGTTTTTAGATATATAAGCTCATACTGATGTTACACTCATCAAGAGCTTTCATTTGAGTACCCACATGCATTTTTGATATATTTTTCATATATACATATATATAATATATATAAATATATAAAATATATGAAAAATTGATGTGGGTACTCAAATGAAAGGTCTCGATGAGTGTAACGTCAGGATGAGCTTATATCTTTAATAATGTTAATATTGAAGAAATTATATTGTATTTTGTCAACTTATGATATTTTTAAAGACATAAACTCATCATGATGTTACACTCATAGAGACCTTTTATTTGAGTACCCACATGCATTTTTGATATATGAATTTAACATCGAGATGAGCTTATATCTTTAAAAATGTCAATAGTTCACAAGATACAAGGTCATTTCTTAATTTTGTAAGTAGAGACAGAAAATTTTTGAATGCAGCCTAAATACTTATCATAATAAATTAACTATCGGTGAGAATGAAACGTAACTTTGAAAAGGCACATAAATAAATTTTCTTTTAATAAACCACCTGTGTTCTATAAATAAAATAAAAAAAAATTAAATGTATAATTAATTGTACATGACATATAAGTGCCAGACTGTTGTAAAGGGTGAAATTACACACGCGTGAGCTGATTGTTAGCATGCAAATATGTTAGCAGACAAACATCAACAATCTACAAGCTAACTGAGCTTACATACTAACTATTAACTCTACCCGTGTCTATGTCACTTGGATAATTAATGAGTAATGAGGAATGACCGGCATATTAAATTGAAAGACGTTTCATTAGTTCAATCCCGTTTGAATGTTTGTTATTATCAAACGGGAACTGCTTTTCACAATTATAATTTTTATTCTTATTATTATTAAGTTTATTTATTGCTTTGTAATGTGTTATTGAACTTGATCTGATTTAATATTATGGTTATTGAGGATTTTGTTTCATAATCGCATTTTTGCTTTTAAAACACGCGCTGGCTTATTTTTTTAGCTGATTAAACTGTTATCGAGTAATAAATATTGTTAATTGAAAAAAATTTTTTTATGCACAAATTATTTTACTAATTAATTATAAAAGTAAGGTTGTAGGATAAATAACGCCATTTATCAAACAAAGAAACTTTTAAATTGAAATTTAGCAGGATAATTCTAACAAAAATGATATTATTATTTACAATAATAATAATAATAATAATAATAATAATAATAATAATAATAATAATATACTAGCAATCTTGCAGTCACTATGTGACTGCTGTAAATTGTGAGCTAAAATAAATTAAAATTTTGCTTTATTAAATAATGACTTTTATTAAATTGCTCTGTACTTTCTTAATTATTGGCGTCTTTAGAGATATAAGCTCATCTTGATGTTATACTCATCGAGACCTTTCATTTGAGTACCAACATCAATATTTCATATATTTTATATATTTATATGTATTACATATATCTATATATGAAAAATATATCAAAAATGCATGTGAGTACTCAAATGAAAGGTCTCGATAAGTGTAACATCGGGATGAGCTTATATCTTCAAAAACCTCAATAGTTCTCAAGATACAAGATAGTTTCTTCATTACGCATTTAGAGAGAGAATTTCCGAATACAGCCTGAATACTTAAAATAAATCAACTATTGGTGAGAATGAAATAAAACCTTGAAAAGGCACAAATTCAAGACCTTCTATAACACTAAATTTCATTCAAAAAAACCATATGACTCTGGATACAACATTTTTCTTCCCTTAATTATATACATTTATATATAGGAAAAAAAAACAATTTTTTTTACTTATAAAAAACGTTACCCTGTTATTATTTACTTCTTAACATTCTTACAAAATAATTATTTACATATTTTTATTCACTTTAAAGAAAACACCACTAGCGCCACTAGTGAATATTTTTCAAACTTATCTTCTCACAAATTTAATATAATTTTATATAAAGACGCATTTTATTAATAAAGTAAAATTAAACTCACCTCAAATAATATTTTAAATAATTAAATAATAATTTTTTATAATTAAAAAAATAATTATGAATTTTAAATATAAAAATTAACCTAAAAACTAAAACATTTCTTCTTTATATTAACCCAAAATTCAAAAAGTCCTTTATTTCTTTCTTCTCCAACAAATACTGAACCTTGTAAATTTTCTCTGAAACTTTTTAACAGATCTCCCGCTAGATGTCTCTCGAAGAACTCCAGGAACCTCAAGTACTCTTCGGAACTGTAATTTTTGGTAAGACTATGATTAAGACTACTTTTTACATTATTATCATTATCAATCTCCGGAATATTATCATCTTCTTCTATCTTTTCTTCTTTAACTTCCAGATTCACCTCCAGGCCATAATTAACAACCTCAATTGAAAACGGGCAGAGTCCGCAGGTCTTGAACGCCATTTTGAGCTCCTCCGCCATCTTGTCGATCTTCAGGAGCTCCGTATTTAGCGTCGGCGCGAAAGTTTCTTTTTTCACTGGCGGAGAATCGTTCCAGGATTTGGTCATAGGCTTCAGGAGAGCTTGTTCTATCGGCTGGAGCAGGTGAGTCGCGTCTGGACATAACCCTACTAGTTCTATTTGTACTTTTCGGCAGTAGTTCACTACTGACATACTCAAGTTGGCGCTACCGTCGATGTACAGCACTACTGGGAGCTTTATTTTTTTTGATACTAGCCATGGGTAGAATGTTGATGAAATATACTCGCGGAAAATTTCTGTTGACTCTCCTGACACCTGGGGAATTTTTTAAACAATTTTTTAAAAAAATTATATTGTATAAAATTATATAGAAATTTTTTTTTAATTATATTGTATAAAATTATATAGAATTTTTTTTTAAAAATTATATTGTATAAAATTATATAGAAATTTTTATATAAAATTATATTTGAATATAGTATCATATAATTATATATTGTTTCATATAATTATGTATACCATATAATCAATGAATCTTGAAATAATATAATTTTATATTTTTATATGAAATTATAATTATATACAATTCTATAAAATTATAATTTTATGTAACAGAAACAATTTCATATAATTATACAAAACTAGCAACCATGCAGTCACTTTGTGACTGCTGTGACTTATGAACTATAACTAAATGAAATTTTGCTTTTTTAAAAAATGACTTTTGTTAAATTGCTCTGTACTTTCTAAACTATTGATATTTATAAATATATAAGCTTATCCCGATGTTATACTCATCAAGAGCTTTCATTTGAGTACCCACATGCATTTTTCATATATATTTTTCATATATACATATATGTAATATATATAAATATATGAAAAATTCATGTGGGTACTTAAATGAAAGGTCTCGATGAGTGTAACATCGGGATGAGCTTATATCTTTAAAAATGTCATTAGTTGAGATATAAACTTATCTCAATATTCCACTCATCAAGAGCTTTCATTTGAGTACCCACATGCATTTTTGATATATTTTTCATATATACATATATATATGTAATATATATAAATATATAAAATATATGAAAAATTGATGTGGGTACTCAAATGAAAGGTCTCAACGAGTATAACATCGAGATGAGCTTATATCTTTAAAAATGTCAATAGTTTACAAGATTTAATGTAATTTCTTAATTACTAATATTTCTAAAGATATAAGCTCATCCCGATGTTACACTTATCAAGAGCTTTCATTTGAGTACCCACATAAATTTTTCATATATTTTCATATATACATATATATAAATATATAAAATATATGACAAATTGATGTGGGTATTCAAATGAAAGGTCTCGACAAGTATAACATCGAGATGAGCTTATATCTTTAAAAATGTCAATAGTTTACAAGATTTAATGTAATTTCTTAATTACTAACATTTCTAAAGATATAAGCTCATCCCGAAAGTATAACATCGAGATGAGCTTATATCTTTAAAAATGTCAATAGTTTACAAGATTTAATGTAATTTCTTAATTACTAACATTTCTAAAGATATAAGCTCATCCCGATGTTACACTCATCAAGAGCTTTCATTTGAGTACCCACATCAATTTTTCATATATTTGTCATATATTTTATATATATAAATATATAAAATATATGACAAATTGATGTGGGTATTCAAATGAAAGGTCTCGACGAGTATAACATCGTGATGAGCTTATATCTATAAAAATCTCAATATTTTCCAAGATACAAGGTAATTTCTTAATTATGTGTCTAGAAATCAATTTACCTTCCAATCTTTGGGCAAATTCTTAGAAACAATCCCCGGAATCCTCTGGTACCCAAAAGCAAGCATAGGCGGCAGAAGATCTCCATCAGCATTTCCAGCAAAGAAAACCTTAACACGTTCCTTGCCATCATCAGGATCAACCTTTTTCTTTTTCTGACCTTTCATCAGAAAATCTTCAACTTTTAAATTATAGACCCGGTCCTTGCCAAGCTCCAGTAACTGGAGGCTCTCCAGCATCTGCTTGACCTCGAGGAACCAGTGTCTCAGCGACTTCTTCTCGACCATCCTGGAACTGAGGTTCTGGATGACCTTCTCAGCGGCGTCGGGGTGGCGCCTTAAGAAGGCCTCGAACCAGTGCCTGCCCGGGCGGTTGTCTTTAAAGGGAGTTTTTCTGCCCAGGGCGACAATCATGTCGCGCACGCTGTCCAACAGCTGATTCTTGGTGATCGCGAACCCGCGGTCTCGCAAGTAAAATACCCAGTCTATCACCTGGTGCTCCTGCTCCTGGGTCAAATAAGTCGCCGGACCTGGTTTAGCTTCCAATGATGTTTTATTTGTCAACTTGGAGTACAATGTTGACCTAGGGACGTTGTGAGACCTGCTTGCTGTTCTTATAGGTATTCCTCTTTTGACATCTTCCAACGCTGCTTCGATTTCTCGACGGCCGTAAACTTTTTCTCGTTTTATTTTTGGCATTTTTAAGATTTTTTTTTCAACTAAAAAAAAAAAAAATAAAATTGTTAAAAATTATTAATGCAATTTTTTTTTTTTTCAACAAATTTGGATGAAAATTGATTCAATTAATTCACCAGGTTTTTTTATGTTTTAAGAATTTTTTTAACAAATAAAATTTTGGAAAAAAAAAAAAATTGACAAGTAAAAATTTTAATGAAAATTAAATTGGGAGATTTTTAATAATTTTTTTGTAACAAATTATAGCAAAAAAAAAATTAAAAATTTTAATTTTTATGAAAATTAATTCAGGTATTTATTTTAATTTTAAGTATTTTTATAACAAATTTTGGAAAACATTAACGTAGAAATTTTAATTAAAATTAAATTGGGAGATTTTTAATTATTTTTATAATTATTGTAAAAAAAAATTTAAAAGATATTTAAAAAAATTTTAAATTCAATTTTTTTGAAGAAATTTTTATTAAAATTAAATTGAGAGATTTTGAATTATTTTTCTAATTTTTGTAACAATTTATGGCAAAAAAAATGAGCAAAAAAAATTGAGATTAAGAAATTGAACAAAATAAAAAATTCAATTTTTTTGATGAAATTTTTATAAAAATTAATTTAATAGATATTTATTTAATTTTAAGAATTTTTTTAACAAATCAATTTTAGTAAAAATTAAATTGAGAGATTTTTAATTATTTTAATAATTTTTGTAACAAATTATGTCAAAAAAAAATTTACATTGACATTTAAAAAACTAAAAATGCAATTTTTTAAAACAAATAATTTTCAATTAAATTAATAATAATTTGAATAATTAAAAATTTTATTTTTATTAAAACAAATTTGTTTAAAAAAAAAAAATCATTAAATGACTGCTAACTTTAATGTCATATTTTGAGGTTATCTGAAATTATTATTATTATTCAACATTAATTATTATTATCAATTTATTATTATTATTTTCACTACTTACCTTTTTTAATTATTAATTTATTTAGTTTATTTGTTTATTTATTTATTTTACAAAAATTCAATTTTTTCATATTTTTCTTTTGTTTTTTTTTTCAGTCGACGTATAACAATAACAATACAACATGGCGTCCAGCATTTGGGTCACTCTATTTAATTATTGGTGATTGGTGTCGATAATGAGACAATTTAATATAAATTTTTTATTGAAGAATAATAATAATAATAATTATTATTATTATTATTGTTATTACTGCGCAGTACGTACGGATTTTTTTTATTTAAATATAAATCAGCTGACTTTGACAGCTGACAATTTATAAAAAATAAATCAGCTGCTATTTGTCAAATTTTTTAAAAAATGAATTTAAAAAAAAAAAAGCACTTTATTTTTTTTTCATAAAAAAAATGCAAAATTTTATAAATTTTTAATTTAAAAAAATCAGAATTTTCAAAACTTTAAATAAATACTCAATAAAATGCCTTTATTAAAAAATATTACACAATTATTGCAATCAAAATTAAAAAAAACCACTGGGATAAATAAACCAAAAATTTGTAAAAAAAAAAAATTAATTAATTTCAATTTCTTTTAAAATTTCTACGTCACAACTCTTACTATTATCATCAACATCAACATTAAAAATAACTTGGTATTTTTTAGGAATACACTCATCAGTTTTACACACCACTAAATTCAACAAAACACTGAATTTATATTTCCCAACGTCTTCAGAAGTTTTTATTAAAATGGCTTCATCTAAAGCTCCAGAAATTTTCTCAGCGGTCCAGGAGGTGAGTAAGTATTTTAGAGCCCATTTTTGAGGAGCTTCTGGAGTTAATTTTAAATCTTTGGAGAATTTTGGAATCAGTAAAATTTTTAATGTTGAATTTTTGGAAATATTGATGTCAAAATTTATTTTTTTGTCCGCTGGACGGCTCACGTTTTTTGGAAGCTTAAGGTCAATCTAAAAAATTTTTTAATTATTATTATTAATTGATATATTATTTTTTTTTTTTGATTTATTTATATATTAATTAATATAAAATATAATTAATTATTTGTAATTTTGTATACTTACAGTTTTGATTGTTTGATCATCTTTATTAATTATTTTTAAACAGTGATTATTGGTGTCGGCAATTATAATACTGTTGTGTTTTTTAGAGACTGCTAATCCACTGGGTTCGTCAAACTGCAAAAAAAAAAGTTTATTGATTTTTAATTCGACAATTATTAAAAATTTCAACAATAATTTATTGTATTTTAGTTCAAAATCTATAACATCGCCTTCAGATTCAATTTAAAAGATATTTCTTGAAAATTCTCTATCTCTAGATACATAATTAAGAAATGACCTTGTATCTTGAGAACTTTTGACATTTTTAAAGATATAAGCTCATTCCGATGTTACACTGATCGAGACCTTTCATTCGAGTACCCACATGCATTTTTGATATATTTTATATATTTATATATATTACATATATGTATGTATATATGAAAAATATATCAAAAACGCATGTGGGTATTCAAATGAAAGCTCTTGTTGAGTGTAACATCAGGATGAGCTTATATCTTTAAAAATATCAATAATTAGGAAATTACCTTGTATCTTGTGAGCTATTGACATTTTTAAAGATATAAGCTCACCCCGACATTACACTCATCGAGACCTTTCATTTGAGTACCCACATTAATTTTTCATTTATTTTATATATTTATATATATTACATATATATATGTATATATGAAAATTATATAAAAAATGCATGTGGGTACTCAAATGAAAGCTCTTGATGAGTGTAACATCAGGATGAGCTTATATCTTTAAAAATATCAATAATTAGGAAATTACCTTGTATCTTGTGAGCTATTGACATTTTTAAAGATATAAGCTCACCCCGACATTACACTCATCGAGACCTTTCATTTGAGTACCCACATTAATTTTTCATATATTTTATATATTTATATATATTACATATATATGTATATATGAAAAATATATCAAAAATGCATGTGGGTACTCAAATGAAAGGTCTTGATGAGTGTAACATCGGGATGAGCTTTTTTTTTTTTTTGGCGAGAGGAGGGAAATCTTCATAAGACACCGGCTAGATGTGGAGATATTGGTTGCCGGTAGTGTGAGATTCTTACTCACTAAAACCCTCCCCTCTCTTGTACCTGATACTGCGGGACCGCGTTAGCATTACTTCGCAGTTACCAGGCCCCCTCCAAGCTACTCCTGTAGCTATTTCCTCCTGTAGCTATTTCCTCCTGTAGCTATTTCCTCCTGTAGCTATTTCCTCCTGTAGCTATTTCCTCCTGTAGCTATTTCCTCCTGTAGCTATTTCCTCCTGTAGCTATTTCCTCCTGTAGCTATTTCCTCCTGTAGCTATTTCCTCCTGTAGCTATTTCCTCCTGTAGCTATTTCCTCCTGTAGCTATTTCCTCCTGTAGCTATTTCCTCCTGTAGCTATTTCCTCCTGTAGCTATTTCCTCCTGTAGCTATTTCCTCCTGTAGCTATTTCCTCCTGTAGCTATTTCCTCCTGTAGCTATTTCCTCCTGTAGCTATTTCCTCCTGTAGCTATTTCCTCCTGTAGCTATTTCCTCCTGTAGCTATTTCCTCCTGTAGCTATTTCCTCCTGTAGCTATTTCCTCCTGTAGCTATTTCCTCCTGTAGCTATTTCCTCCTGTAGCTATTTCCTCCTGTAGCTATTTCCTCCTGTAGCTATTTCCTCCTGTAGCTATTTCCTCCTGTAGCTATTTCCTCCTGTAGCTATTTCCTCCTGTAGCTATTTCCTCCTGTAGCTATTTCCTCCTGTAGCTATTTCCTCCTGTAGCTATTAAGCTCATCTCGACTTTACACTCATCGAGACCTTTCATTTAAATACCCACATGGTATTTTTTATATATTTTATATATATGATATTTGTGAAATATATCAATATATATAATATATATAAAATTGATGTGGGTACTCAAATGAAAGGTCTCGTTGAGTGTAACATCAGGATGAGCTTATATCTTTAAAAATATCAATAATTAGGAAATTACCTTGTATCTTGTGAGCTATTGACATTTTTAAAGATATAAGCTCACCCCGACATTACACTCATCGAGACCTTTCATTTGAGTACCCACATTAATTTTTCATATATTTTATATATTTATATATATTACATATATATGTATATATGAAAAATATATCAAAAATGCATGTGGGTACTCAAATGAAAGGTCTTGATAAGTGTAACATCGGGATGAGCTTATATCTTAAAAAATGTCAATATTTCACAAGATACAAAGTCATTTCTTAATTATGTATCTAGAGATAGAGCATTTTCTAATGTAGCCTAAATACTTATCATAATAAATTGACTAATAATATATATAATAATTTTAATAATAATAATAACCTTAAAATCTTTACTAGGTTTGCCAGCACCATAAACACTAGTACACTTTCCATCAATCTCAATTTTTTTTATTTTATGATTATAAGTATCAGCAACCCAGACAACATTACTGGCTTCGTCCCAAGTTACTCCTAAAGGATGTTGAAGTTTTGCCGTACATCCTGATCCATCAACATCTCCATAATTGTGTAAGTTCTAAAAAATTTTAAATATCATTAAGATAAATTTTTTTTTTCAATTTAATTCAATATTAATTATAAAAATAAATTTGAGAATTTAATAAATAATTTTACCATAGGATTTTTATCAGCTCCAACAACACCAGTGACTTTTCCATCCAGCATATGAACTCGTCTCACCGAACTAGACTCACTGTCTGCAAAAAAAAGTGCCTTGATACCCTGAGCGACTGCTAGACCAGAAGGCTGTGCTAGACCAGCAGCATGCGGGTAAGAATTATTTCTGTTTTCTTCTTTGCCGCTTCCTACTATCGCTGAGCAAGTCTTTGCTTTGTATTGTCTTGAAAAAAAAAAAATGTATTTATTTTTTTTTTTTATAATTAATTTAAAAAAAAAATGTATTTAATTATTAAAATAATTTGAAGAAAAATAAATAAAAAAATAAAAGTACCGATTTTTCCACCAGGTTGTGTCTTCAAAAAAATATGCCCATATTTGATGAGTCCCCGCAATTGCAATCAACAAAACAGGTACTGATTTATTATTTTGAGCATGCTGATAAATTGCAACGTCCCACGGTGAAGATAAAGCTTGTTCTGTACCTGTTTTTCCTCCTACGTAATCATTTCCTTGGGTTCCAATGCCTGCTAGTGTCTTCACTGTTTTATCTTTTAGGTTTATCTAGAAGAAATTTTTTTAATATCAAAATCAATATTTTTACTTAATTATCAAAAATATGAAAAAATCATAAGAAACATTCTTTATAGAAAATTAAATTCTTTACAAAAAAAGGTATCCTATACTTTTTTTATATTGCTCATATTCTGGCCAAAATTATAGAAAAATATTGTATCAATAATTTAGTTGTCTAACTTTCAAAATTAAAATTTTGAATTAAGTGTAGAAAATACAAAAAAAAAAAAGGTAAGAGACATTTTTTTCATAGGAAATTTGATTCTCTACAAAAAAAAGGTATTTTATAGTTTTTTTATATTTTGTTGGAGTCAAAAGATCAGACAATAATAAGTCTGTTATAATAAACCATCAGGTATAGATGCATATTTAATCTACGAGAGATTCCAACATGCTTCCCATATTTTGGAAAATATTTAAAATTTTAAAAGTTATCAAAAAAATTTCTGATTTTGTTCCATTTTTACAAAATTAAAAAAATTAATATTTTTACTAAAATATCAAAAATATGAAAAAATTACAAGTAGGGTAAATGCACCAATTATTGACCGATTAAGGTTTTCTTTTTCTGTACTAAGCTATAAAAAATCTATTTTTTTTTTTTTTTAATTTTGTTTAAAGTCGCATAAACTACTAAGGTCATGAGCGACTACGGTAGGAGGTAAACTTTTGAGATTGGAACTCGTTTGTATTTCTTGGGCTGAGCAGAATAATACACTTAAATATTGAAAATATTCATTGGTGTACGCCGGATTCGAACCCGGTCTAATGCTTCGGTAGCAAGGGCCGGATCCGATAGGCTACTGTGCGCCTTAAAAAATCTATTAACTTACTAAAAACAATTTGTAATGGATTTTATTAAAGTTAAATACTTAATTAATAATAATTAATAACTATTTATAATAAAAATTAACAAAATTATATTAATTTTGTTATTTGAATCTTGAAATACTAAAATCACCAATTATTGACCGAAGAAACCCAATAAATGACCGACCGTTCTCCAATTAATTCACCGCTCAAATAATTATAAGTAATTTTGTAAACTACATGTATGTAATTAAATTTATGCAGTACTTTTCAAGTATTAACGACATCTTTAACAAAACTAAACATACAATATAATTATAAATCGTACTTTTTTTATAAAATAATATAAATAATAGCAATAATTAATATAAAGTCACATTTCTTTAGGTCACAAATAATCACAAATTCATTTTAATGACGATAATTCTTCTGATTCACTTGAAATTTTTTTATTCTTCTTCTTTTTCTCAATTAAATCTTTTTTACTAGCTTGTAACTCTTTTTGATTTTTTTAATTGCTTAGCAATTTTTTCTTCTAATAATTCGTTCTTTGATATAACCGTTCACTAAAAAAATTAGAACAAAATAAAATTTAATAATCAAAAAAGATTTTAAGTATTATTTTAATTATAAATATACATTTTAAAATGATTATTTTTATATTTACAAAATATTGAATGACTAAAGTCCTTTAAACACTTGACAGATTTAATTTTAAGGTTGAGAAGTTTGTATTATAAATATACGGTGATTAATTGGATTGTGATAAAATCAGAGGGTCTAATAAATGACCGAATGAATTTTTTACTGGGTAAAGGGCTTCTGACGGATCCAATAGTTGACCGGTCTTAAAATAATATTAAAACTTATAATTTAACTTTATTTTTTCAAAAAAGTTGGAATCTGATCTTTAATTAACATAATAAAACTTAAATATTTTATATTATGCCGATAAATATCACTAAATTAATGATGAAATGCACTGACTCTCCAATAATTGTACGCTAGTTATTTTTGACCGCTTTATGGCTGGTTGCGTTGTAAACAAACTCAGAATATTTTTTAAAGCTATAATTCACAGCGCAATTAATTGCATAATTTTTTATTATGATGATTAAATGCCATATATTCTTATTTTAATACTTTAAGAAAAAAAACTCTTGTAAAATATTAATTAATTAACTTTTTTATACATCGGTCAACTAATTGGTGACCGGTCAACAACTGGTGCATTTACCCTAACATTTTCTACAGAATATTAAATTCTCTCTAAAAAAAAAAAGGTGTCATAATTTTTTTATATTTTTGATATTTAAGCTAGGATTTAAAAAACTCACCACTCTGATAGCATGATTTTCATTATCAGCGACAAAAATATCATCTTCTAGAGCACAAACTCCTTGAGGCGCGTTGAACCGCGCCTCTTTGAAACTTCCATCCTTGAATCCCCTAGAGTATCCTCCAACAACAGCTTCAACTTGTCCGTCAAAATCTAGCACCAGAACTCGGTTGTTCCCGGTGTCTGAAACGAGGATCTTTTCATCCCTTAGCACCTGGACCTTGCCAGGAAATAGCAAAAGGTCTCTAGTCACTGGCAACAAATGAGCCGCTGGTTTCAGATCGAGTCCGTGGTTGGAGATTTTTTTCAGTGACTTAAAGTACTTGAGCGCGATCTGGGTGTACAGCAAAAGTTCCCTGCGGTGACCTTCACCCACCAGGACGAATAACACTTGGCCATCTGGCCCGAGGATTACCAAACTTGGCCAGCAGCTGATGCCAATGTCTCTCCACATTGACAGCTTGGCGTCGTTTACCACCGGGTGGCTGATGTTGTACCTCTGGACTGCTGATTGGATTTTTGCTGAGTCTTTTTCATTGGAAAATTTTGCACTGTGCACACCAACCTGAAAAATTTGAAAGAAATATATTGTTTATATAGTATATATGTGAAAGTTATAAAATGAAAGTTCTTGAATGTCAATTAAAAAATGACATTGTATCTTGTGAACTATTGACATTTTTAAAGATATAAGCTCATCTTGACATTACAATCATCGAGACCTTTCATTTGAGTATCCACATAAATTTTTCATATATTTATATATTATATATATGTATATATGAAACATATATGAAAATGCATGTGGGTACTCAAATGAAAGCTCTTGATGAGTGTAACATCAGGATGAGCTTATATCTTTAAAAATGTCACTAATCAAGAAATTACCTTGTACTTTGTGAACTATTGACATTTTTAAAGATATAAGCTCACTCTGACGTTACACTCATCGAGACCTTTCATTTGAGTACCCACATCAATTTTTCATATATTTCATATATTTATATATATTATGTATATAAATATATGACAAATATATCAAAAATGCATGTGGGTACTCAAATGAAAGCTCTTGATGAGTGTAACATCAGGATGAGCTTATATCTTTAAAAATGTCACTAATCAAGAAATTACCTTGTACTTTGTGAACTATTGACATTTTTAAAGATATAAGCTCACCCCGACATTACACTCATC